AATTTTAAATATTAATTATTAATCACATTAATTTTGTATTTTACATGATCTAATCACATAAAATGAAATGTATTTAAAAGAGGGTCTTCAAAATAGGTTCTCCGGCACACCTCATCAAAAAAAAAATGTGGACTCAAATTTCATGTATTTTAATAATGTGCAGCTGACCCCAAATTGTTATATAATCTGCTGTTGTTCTCCTTGTAGTCTTGAGAACGTGCACTTGACCCAAGTGTTTTCAAGGTATTAGTTAAAACAATTTTAGCCATGTGGCATGTAATTAAGTGGCAGCCAGGTGGTCCCATGTAAGCAGCCAACATGGATTTCGGTCAACCTAATTAACGGAAGTTGGACATATGATCCATTTTGATAAAGTTGTTTCTAAACTAAAATGATATAAAGCATAAATTTAGTAGACTAAACTGATATAAAACCTATACTTAGTAGACTATTTGTAAAATTTGAAATGCGTTTCTTTCAATCTCTCAATCTTTTTTGGGTAAATGTGATTTTTACTTTTTTAACTTTTAATTTTAATTTTTTTTTTTATCTTTAAACTATTTTTATACTTCTTTTTCATTAATAAATTATGAAAGATAAAAATTTTTAGTTTTTAGTTAATTAATCTATTAAATCTATCTATATGTGCACATATTACAAAATTTAGAACTAAAAATGTATATATATAAATAGATGAAATGAATTAATTAACAAAAAGACAAAAAAAAAATACATTTTCTATAGTTTAAAGAATAAAAAAGTGAAAAATATAATTCATAGACTAAAAATTTTTTAAATTAAAATTTCAACGGCTAAAAATTGACAATTAACCATCCTTTTCTGTTATCTTGTTCAGGAAACCTCATTTATTAATCAGTGTCCAATATGGAAAGAATTCTTGGTGGTAGTTGGACCTGGCTGTGAGAAAATTAGATTTTGTAAATTTTATAACAAAAAAAAAAAATGATAATCTAACAACTCTGCTTCATAATTATCTTCAAACCTATATTATACACATCGGTTTTCTTATAATTTTTACATACAAGAATATTTTTCAATTAAATTTCTTTCACTTATGTAGTTTATAAAAGTTTGTAATTTACAATTATTTGTAATAATTATATTAAAACAACCTTAATTTTTGCTGGAATAAAAAGAGCTAGTAATTTTTATGGTATCCTTAATTTTACATTCTAGTTACGCCCTCTGAAGTGTATCCACCCTAAACTTAGGAAAGTATGATCTCCCCTAAATAAAATTAAGAGATTCTCTAATTACATGATTAAGAAATTTTACGTTTTATTAAGGATTAGAATTAATTTACTCGAGAACCTATATCAATTTTATACTTGACAATAATTTTTTGTATTGTTTACAAATTTTCGAACTAAGCGTTAAATAGCTGGCAGAAAAAAAAAAAAAAACCAATGGTTAAGTTTAGGGTCCGCTCAATAATATTGCAATTGTTGTTTCTTTTTTTAGCCAAAATTTGAAGGCTTAAGTATTTAAAAGGGACCCTAACTTTTACTAAATTCTTAATTGAGGTCCTTAACATTTATTGCACTTAAGTAAGGTCTTAAACTCACACAAACTCTCAAATTAGGACCCAATTGGATGGAATCTTAACATCCGTCAATTCTCACTTGACTGTCCGTTGCGATCTGTTACCCCTCAGTACGTGGCATGCCAATTGGAACCATAAAGCTGACTAGAAAAAATATTTTCCAACATGGCATATGGGGCGGGATCTTTCCCTCCACATAACAAGTGGTCCCACAAGACTCCTTTTCCTAGACTCTTTTTTTATTTTTGACTATTCAACACCTTTTTAATATAATATAATTCGTAAATTCAGAGACTTCATCCGCAACGTGAAGAAATTGCGAGGCTTAAACCCAAAGAACTTCTGCGGAGCTGATATCTATAACGGCATTATGATCCGTTACGTCAAGGTTTCGCTGACATACCGAGCCAACCGGAGGATTCTGTGGTGATCGATTTCAACTATTACCGCGTCGACAATGCTTCCAACCCGAGGCTAAATGAAGACATCTGGGAAGAAATCGAGCAAATGGTATTCTTCAAGTATGGCGTGCGGCCACATTGGGTGAAGAATAGGAATCTTGGGTTCTTGGGAGTGCAGAGTAATTACCCAAAATTCAACAAATTCATTGCGGAGAAAAAACAATTGGACCGGTAAGGCATATTCTCTAGCAAATGGTCGGATCAGATACTGTTGGGAAGCAAAGCTATTGATAAAGGCAACGGGTGTGCACTAGAAGGACAGTGCATTTGCTCGGAGGACAAACATTGCAATCCGAGCACAAGGTACCTCTGCAAAGAAGGTCTTGTTTACAAGGAAGCCAGAGTCTGTGGATAATCGTCATCCTCCATTGTGTAACGATTCTATGACACCACCGAACTCCATCTCGCCACCAAGAACAGCCCCAAAACAGAGTGGCTCAAGGTTAGCAAAACCCAGAAACAAAAAAGAAGAAGTCGTCCATGATTTTGAGGGAATTCAGTTGCAATGGAAGTATGTCTGCATAGAGCCTTTGAAGATCTTGCAGGGAGAAAGGCAGGTTGTTGGGCGGAAAAGTTCCAAGGATTGGGTAGGCTGCTATTGGGTGGAGAAGAAGATCTTGCATGGAGAGAGGCATATTGAAAATTCTAGGGATCTCACCCCCAAATCATGAAATAGGAAAGAAGAAGAGAGATGGGAGAAAAAGGAGCCATGGGATCACACATGCCACGTAGGAATGTAATTTTTTACAATCAGCCTTATGGGTCTAGTTGGCATGCCACGTATTGAGGGAGTAATAGACCGTAATGGACAGCCAAGTGAGAATTGACGGATGTTAAGATTCCATCCAATTGGGTCCTAATTTCAGAGTTTGTGTGAGTTCAAAACCTTAATTGAGTGCAATAAATGTTGAGGACCTCAATTGAGAATTTAGTAAAAATTAGGGTCCTTTTTCAATACTTAAGCCAAATTTGAATGATCAAAATAAACAACTAAAATTCAAAATTAAAACGGGAATAGACAACTCGTTAAGTATGAAATTTTAAGATTGATAATCAAAATTATATATATATATATTTTTTAACTTCTTAAATTTTTTAACTTTAATTTAGTAATTTGCAATATTTTGCTAAAAAACAGAAAACCCACAACAACAATGTTAATAAACATGTGCTTAATGTTTTATAGATTAGTTAGGCCAAACTTCAAATTAATTAAATATATTTAACCATTTCATTATTTAAAATAATTTCCAATGGTTAAATATAAATAATATCCCAAATTCAGCTCTTTTATCCTTATCTCTTTCTCAAGAGTAATAGAATTAAAGTAATTGCCTAATCGGTTAGCTGAATAGTGAGGAATGACATGAACAATGAACCATGTTGAAAATGTAGATTTCAAAAATAAGAAAAAATTTCATATGCGAAATTTTGAGAAGCGAATTATTCTATTTATTATAAATTGATTTTTATTTGAATGTTTATAATAAGGTATGACAGCGTGGACTTTAATTTTGTGTGCAACCGAGGGTAGTTGTAATCCCAATTAGTGCCTGCTGCAAGCTTTCGATCCGGAAGAGGTCGAAGGAAACCTGATGTGTAGTCCAAGGCGCGGCTGATGGAAGGTTGGTGGCTGTGGTTGTGAAAATCCAAACATAAATTAAATGTCCTTTTTGTGAAAATTGCGTGTAATTTCTAACATAAGATTTACATTTAATTAAAAATCAATTGCTTGTATCTAAAATAATTTTTATTGTATTTAATTCATATAGTTTTTATTGTATTTTTTATATGGGATTTTTTTCCTCAATACATTTTAATATTAAAAAAATTAAATGGGACATAACTGCCAGTCTTGTATGTAAGAGCTCAACCCTTATTTATTTTCATAATTCCTTGGCTTATTATTCCATCTTTTTCTGATTTAATCGTTTCTTTATTTCTCTTAAAATACTTAGACATGTACTTTTGGTCTGTTTAGAGATTTGAATTTCTTCAATGCAGCTCTTTTATTGATGGCAGTTCAGAGAAGATCAATTAGCTAGTAGTTCTTTCTGAGCTAGGGAACTGTGTGCTCAGCAGAATTTCTCAATTTTAAAACAATGTTTCAATACATTGCGATTATCCTTACAGAAGAAGTATTTGTTAGTTCTGTTACACATTCAGTATTCTTCCATGTAAATAATGTAGGAAAGCCGTGGACTATGCCTCGCTGCTAGTTTGTGTTCCTACTTTCTAAATCTATTATGTTTGTATTATCTTTAAAATTTTGTTAGCTATACCTCTTAATAAAAATTAAAATAAAAGTGTGTCATCCTTTTTTTACAAGAAAAGTGAGAAAAAAAATTCACTGACAACTTTCTTTTTCCATTTAATTTTTTCTTATGAAAAGATCATTAAAAGAAGGTCGTTTTAAAACAAAATGTGCCATGAATTAGATGAATGGTAGAAATGAGGAATAATAAGAAATTAATTCCTTTATAATAAACTTAAATTTATCTCAAAAGAATATCAAGGATATAGTTATGGTGAATATATATAAAGAAAAAATTAAACAAAAAGTACTAGAGAATAAATACATTGAAAAGATAAGTGCCGAAAATTAATAAAGATATAATAATTGTAGTTAGGTAGAAATCTAAATTGCTGATAGAAAAGTAAAGAACTAAAAACATAGACTTATAGAAAACATAAAGTGTAATGAAATGTAAGCATGACAAAATGTAAATCGCGACTTAATGCTAAGAACTAAAGTGATTAGAAGTTGTTATATAAAATATTCTATTGATCATAA